CTGCACTTGTTTAATGATGTAAGCGGGTAATATTTGCATTTATTGGTAATTATTATTTCAATAAATAACAACTATATACACTGCATTAAAAAAAATCATAATTAATTTAATTATTTACAACGTGTTTATAACTCAAGTTTATATACGTGAATTCTATGAAATGATCATTAAGTTATAAATGCTCTGATATGTTTCGACATTTATAAGCGCATTTATTACTATTATAATTCTTACTTTTTACGCAATTCCTGTGCTTGAATATCTGTGATATTTAAAATAGTAGTGTCCAATTGAGTAATGCCACAAGAATTTCTAATCGAAATCTCGAGTTGACGATCACTATGAGAACTGTAAACACCATCAATTGTTTTTTTTTTTGTTTACAGATGAAGTGAACACTTCAATAGGTTCCCAAGTTTTGTTAAGGGCTCAAAATATCCTTCTTACAAGTACCTTGCTTTCTTACTTGTATTTTGGTTTAATTATTAGAATAATTTAAAATATTTTAGTGATGCTTCTACTTACACGAATCGATTTCGGTTACAGCGGTAGCAATCACTTTTTTTTTACTTTAGTTCTGACTTGACCTTCCAGTACTGAGTCCTTTAAGACTTGTGCGCATAGGGTACAATGGTCTATCGGACACCAAGCCAAGTCTGCTAATTTATTCAAACTACTGGTCATTGTAATTTCATTGAGATTCCACTGAGATCATGTTGCAATTATGATAATAGTTGGTATTCTGTTAAAATCTAGTTGCAATGGCAGTCGAGTCTTAGTGAAATGGCAGTGATGGCATTAATTAAATTACTAACGCTCTACTTGACGCTTTTAAGACTTTCGTAGTTATTCACTAAATGATTATCACTAATTTCAGGTTTCTTACCACGGTATGACTTCTTTTTATTTACGTATTTAGTACGTGCAGTAATAAAAACAAAAACACCTCGAGTTCAGTTTCGCGTGTGGATACAGTGAGTGTGGTTTGTGTGAAACAAGTGAGTGACAATGGTAATGCCACAACAAATCGCGATGAAGGTAGTCGACAGCGCAAGAGGGTAGACAGATATGTCTGCTCTTAAAGCTGTCAGCTGCCGCCTTCCAGTCAACCCGTGACCATGGAGCGTGCAATCGTTCCGAAATATCGGGAAAATAAAAAGAAGTCATGCCGTGATGAGAAACCTGAAATTAGTGATAATCATATAGTTGCCCTACTAAAACAATGGGGGGCTGTCCATTCGGTGGTGTGGGAATAACAGCTAAACATCTAATTACAAAATAAACAGAATCACATTTCATCGGTAATTAAATATTAAAATATGTCATTTTTCAATTGTCGTCCATTATAGCAAAGTTCAAGTTAAATTGGTCAATTTGAAATCAAACAATTGACGACACCCGTCAATTGTTTCGAATTCGAGCTGATCAATCGGAGCGGAGTTGTCACCGTAATGGTTTGGCGGAATAATTTTCAAACAAATTAAATGACATTTCGTCTTTATTTCTGATTATATACTCGATGCTAACGAACGATGTTACCTCACTAAAACTACCATGTTAATTATTATGCATCTTCATTTTTATCTCGTTTAGTCTCCAAATTGAATGTATTTTTAACCGTCTTCAAAGAAAGGAGGAGGTTCTCAATTCGACTGTTCGCTTTTTTATTTGTATGTTAAGCGATAACTCCGGCGGCATTTGTGAACTTATTTTGATGATACTTTTTTTGTTGGGAAGAGGGTACCTCAGATGTGGTCCTATTTAAATTTTAAGAAAGTATTCCACCTCTAAGGGTGGCAAACTAGCGAATGAATGACTTTTGAGGTCGGTTTTTACTCTGTACTGAGTAATATGCTACTATAAATACTATTATGTGAAATAATTAGTAGACTACGTCATCGCCTTGCCATTGAAGAGCAGAATATAACAAAATGCAATGACAGTTGAATAATAAATACCTCGACGGCTAACCACTGCAAGCCATTATTTTTAACTTTTAGCAGAATGCCAAACGTACAAAATTCTGACACTCTGTCGACACACAACTGAGATGATTTAAAATTAGCAGACTTGACACCCATGAAAAGTCAGTTGTCCAATAAAGGTAGGCAATGAGCTGTAGTACGAACTGGGCTCAGAAAATGTGAAGTGGAACTTCCTTCTGCACACAGAATGCCACGGCGATCCGTGTAATATAACTATTGTGAGCGTAGTATGCATAGAATACAAAATTGGACTCAGTAGTAAGCCTTGAGGGACGTGTGATGAGCTTCCGTGGTCATTTTTTAATTGTTCAATTTTAATAGAAGTAGAACTTGTGATACACTTGGGAAAAAGACGCGACCAATAAGTGTAATAAATAATTTTTTATTACATATAATTTATATTGCAATTATATATTACTAATTGGCAATATGTATGTACAAACGGCAGAATATTAAGCTACACATCGAGGGACCTTCGTTCCGTTGCAATGGAGATGGAGGCGATATTCGAAAAAACTTGTAGCTTGATGTGCTATTGACTGTACTTGCGGGCGTTTAGATGCCCTTATTTAATTATTTGCTTATTATCTGCATTTGTTACGAAACGCGAGATAAAGAGAAGTTATTTACTCAAAATGTGTTCCTGCTGCTTAAGCGAATTTTTTGATAGATACGTACAGCTATCACTATGTAAAGTCAGTTTGCCATCGAAATAATGTAAAGTATAGTAAAATTTCGCTGACCATTTAAATAAGTTAGCGTTTTGCGTAGGCGCGCGGCAAGGGGAAAGGGGTTAGTATACTCTGATCGCACGATTCGTTGGAAACTAATGTAAAATAATCTTCAATTGTATGTTCTGATCGCGATATATATACCTTACCTTAACCTGCTCCGGTCATGCAAATGGATTATAAATATCATCCCTATAATAAGCCCTATTTTCGTAAAGTGATAAGTATATAGCTTTATACCTAAAGTTCTTCTTTCCCCCTAAATGCTGTCAAAATATGGAAGTGGCTTTTCAAAATATACATTTTCTTTTAATTTTTTGCATTAGAAATATGTATTGGTTCACTATGTAGGTAATTTTAACAACAATGACCAAGACGATGACAGCTGGATCTCAGCACTGTGAACAGCTAGAAGTGCCAAATTTGAATTGAAATGGTTTAACGAGTTCTTAGGTTTTCATGATTGTTAAAGATAGGCATGAAACTATTTTTTCCAATCTAAATCGCGTATATTTGATTTTTCAGATGCGTGAACGTTTCGGGCTTTTTTCAGGTCCCATGTTCACGGCTGACGGGTTATAGGCACGGTATATTTGAAAAAAAAAACAAATATACGCGATATAGATCTGAATAAATTGTTTCACTTCTTAAATGATTTAAATTTAGCGGCCATAAGAAATGATTAAAACTACAATATTTTTTCTTAATGTCACACGTTTTTGCATTTTTTACTTTCTATGTATGATAAAAGTTAATTTAAATGTTAAATGAAATTACAAATAACATTTTATTTTAACGTTTATTTTCCTTCAATTTTATAATTTATTATAATTTCGTCAATCCCCGTGTCCCAGGATTGTTTTAATTTGAAAGCGCTCGTATTCGTTAATAGATAGAGGAGGAAATGATCCGACCATTAGTAATTACTATTTAATTTCCTCTTTTCAAATAATCTTAGACACACAATAATTCCCAAAATGCGTTTTCTGATAATTTATTGCATCAATCGGAAGCGAATTACCTCGGGGTGCTTGAACCGTATTAGTGTAGTTAATAAAATAATTGTTTCGTATGAGTTTTATTCTTTATAACCTAATTTGTCGAGAGTTAAAGTGTGCATAAGATTATTTCAAAACAGGAAACTAAACATTTATAATTGTACGAAAATAGGGCCTACGGGGACATTGTATTTATCATTTTCATGATCCAAGTGGAATAAAACGCCATGCGTGTCATAGTCAACTCAGATTGTGTGATTGGATGTGACAAAAATATATTATATAGTTGGTGAAACTGATCTCACCCTGTATTCATCGTCATGTACATTTGAAGGTTATCTGTTTCCATTACCGACTAATACCAATTGTTATACTTCGTCCAATCATTTGTTTAACTTTTAACAGCTCGAATTCTAATCGATTAGTGATGTCTTAGTGCGTTGCCGATTCGATTTTTTATAACAATTGATTTTACTAAAGAAGTTTAAATCGTGAATGTGAGCGAGTTCAAAAAATAAGGTATTGTCTGATTGGGATCGTGATGCTGAGTTTAAAAATTTGTGTACTCAAGAATTAATAATTAATGTTAATGAGGATTCAAGTGCTGATTCCGTTCATATGGAGAAGAAACAGACGATTCATTATAATAAACAATAAAAATGTATTATTATTATTTAGAATTTATTTCATTTCATTATAGTTTATTAGATAGGTAGCAAAATTTATCAACTTTGATTATCTTCGTTATATAATCTGTTGACTCGATATATATCGGAGCTAAAGAGCACGTCGCTTCATTAAAATTATAAGATAAAAGAGACCAGGAAGTATTACATTTTTTTGTCTATGGTTGTATGTCAATAATTACTGAACTTCTGGGGCATGCATATGTCAAATTTTAAATAATTGGTTGGACGGAGTATACCACAATGACAGAGTCGCGCTAAATGAAACATTGCTCGATTTCGGCCAGACCGTCGTCAGCTTCCACACTTGTGAGCTAGCGCATTATATCAGCTAAGTTAATCTATCATGACTGTGTTACACAGTATTGAAGTCACGATCAAAAGTGAGAGTCAATTCATGTAAAGTACTTGATTGGAATCTTTTCGTTCTTTTTTTGCTAAGGGGCACTTACAATCAGCGATATAAATTTTTGACGTGGTTAAGTGTGAATTCATGATAGAGGTACTAATAACATGTTTATATATGTTACTTTTCTTCACCGACTTTGAACTGTGTACTTTCATAGTTGATGAGTCCTAAAAATTTACATATATTTCCAGCTCACTGGGTGGTGCATCAATGGCGACTGTACGAGCGGTCCCTGTGCTCGCTGCTCGAGCTACAAGCGCGGAAAGGCTCAACATACTCGATGTGCTGCTCGCCGCGATACGTCATCGCGCCGGAGTACGCGTCGCACCTCCTACCTCTACCTCTCACTACGCAGAGGTCGTCACCGCCGCCTGCGCACTTGTAGCGATGCGACCCCGCGCCGGGACAGGTAAGAAATACTGTTTTTTATAGGTGGTCGTATACGTCTAATCTCACCTCACACGACGCTTTTGAATAGTCTCTTCTCGGTGAATTTGCAGAGAATATATGGCTCTTTTCGTCTGATCAAATCATCTCTATGACAGATTTGCGCACATCGGCTGAAATATCCCTGTTTCGAAAAAAACTATTAAAATGTTTTAAAATGGACAAAAACACCAATAAATAGCGTATTTCATCGTCATTCGCTCCAACGACATCAAAAAGCGTGGACACGTTCTATAAATGGCCTTAAAGTGGTGATAATAATAAAACGGCCGATGGTAAGGAATACGGGCCTCTGCAGCGACCGTAAAATTGCTACATCACACTCATAATACCTTTTAAATGTGCTGTTATGTCGAAGACTTGGTAATGACATAGAACGTGCTAACTAATATTATTTATGACTCACATTAAAAGTATCCTTCGGGCATTGGGACACTCCCTTAATTACCCGTGTTCCTACAAGTAACTAATACAAGTACGATCTGTCTGGCCCGTATTATCAACTGGTCCAGTAAAAGCAATGATTTTTTTTAATGCTGTCTGTTCCACTGCTGATCAAAGGCTCTCTCTTTTTCCACTGTTTTCGGTCTTGGGCAGCGTCTAGCCAATCTTTTCTTCTTTTTTTTTCTATTGAGTCTAAGTCATCCCGCCATCGCCTACGTAGTCTACCGCGTCTGCTTTTTGAGCTGTGTTGCTTCCACTCAACACTGTACTATCATTTGATTGCCCTTGAAACTTATAAACTTAATTTGCTTAATCCCCTTTATTGTGTTTTAGGATCATAGATAATGGAAATGAAACAATTTTTTCAAATATACATCGCGTATACTTGTTTTTTCAATCACTAGGTGCGTTTAAGGCTCTTTACAAGCCCCATTGTCAGTCGTGATCATCCGAAAAAATAGTCTTTATTTCCAATGAGTAACAATCGTTAAAACCTAAGAACTCGATACATAGATAATAGTTTGTTGTAGAAAGACGGGCAAACGAATTTAACCTGGTAATTCCTTAAAAAAAAACACTTTTCATTTCAAATTTGTTATCATGTATCGTAGTAGTGGATATTGACGCTAATGTATAATGATCTTACGTATAATATCCGTGATTGTGTTTTTTCTTTTCGTCTTATCAATTCAGTACTAATGTACTGGAAATGTGAATACTAAACCGTGTGGTTTTTACCGTTATATTAGTGATAATATACTACCGGTAGCTAGTCGTCTTTTTGTGTAGATTTCCTACAGAGACAGCCATAACTCTGCAAGGTAGCAAAACTGCGACAACTCTTTATGTTCACCCATAAAATGACGAGTTCTAACGCAGAAGCGCTTCCCTTAATTTTATCTCCCACGGTTATGCGCTACCGTGTAACGCTGAACTTGGTACTAACTCAACTTGTTGTATAAAAGCTGCTGAGTTATACTGAGTTGCGCGGACTTGTAAGACTTATTATACAGTGTGTAATAAAAGTTCGAAGATATTTCAGTTAGTAATTGTACTTATGACAAACGTACAAAAAAGTTTGCTGACTATTTAAAAAAATCACTGGGGGCCTGCTATCAGCTTTTAGACCAATCCTATTTAAGCCTGTAAGTTGGATTGCCTGTCAAATTCGTACTATGAACTCACAAAAACAATTCACTGTCCATGCAGTTTACGTTCCCCATTCGAAATCCGTTCACCTTTTCTTTCACTACATAATCGTATCATGACGTGCCATTTGCCATGCAATGGCGGTCTCATCTATAAAAATAAGCAATTCAAAAAAGTTACTCCGTGACTAACTTTTTTTAGATTTAGATTTTGTATTTTTAAGAAATTTCGTTTAAGTTTTATTATACACATTTTCATTTTCATAATTATTTTTTATCTTTTTAAGCTATACAGCCAATTGTCAATTAATAAATACTATTAACTATTGAGCGTTTTTCGAAAATTTTACTTAGAGTTCCCAATCTTTAAAGTATTTTTGATAAATTATTGGCTTGAATGTTATTGCAATTTTTAAATAAAGTTTTAATAATTTTATTTACCGAAACTCGTAAAATAACTTTTAAATAGTGCCAAATTTAACTTTAATGCAATCAATGAAACAGTACAAATACAAGATACGTTCCAGTTATATTATCAAATTACAAACTCACATTATTAATTTCAATGATAATGACATGTCATGTAATTTTGTCCTACGACACATGTAAAGTATGATTGAAAAGTTGCCGATATTAAAAACATCGTAGGAAGTATAATTAGAGGTGGGTGATAAATAACGTCACGATGAAAAAATCACGATGATCCGCCGTCAAACAGTATCACCGTGACTCGTTCCGAAGGAACGACGTTCCAAAGTCACATAGGTGTTCCTCCGTTCCAATAGCTATCCCCGTCACTCACATCACGACATACGTATTTGATACAATGCGCGATCTTCGTTCCGTGGTAACTGAGGGCGCCACTCGTTGTAGTTCTCTTCAAATCGGGCCATTTCGGCGATGGGAGTGAATGAAATAGGATGATTTTCTTTGCTCACTCACAAGGGTCGTAAGTTCTTATTACTACTAGAAAAGGCGGATGAAAAAAATCTGCAGCAGTTATTATATTATATATAAACCTATTTATGAACAAAGTAAAATATTTATGTATATTTTTTTATTACAGGAAGAGTGGATATTTTATATTTATGTATAATCTACTTTTTGTATTCTACTAGAAATATAATTACATTACACTTTATTGCTATTTTTAACAATCCAAAGATTCGCATTAAATAAGTAACAAACAGAATTACATTAAAATCAACTTTTTGAATGGAATTGAAACTTATTACAAAGGGAGTAAAAACTGATTTAAGTTTTTACTCTATAAAAAACGGCTATAAGTATTAGAAAGAAGCCGCTGGCTAAAACCGTATATCGTGATGTAAGTTATAGGCGTGACACGGTCACGGAAGTAACAGTCGTGACAAAATCACGATGATTTATCACTGTGATTTTTTTGGAACCGGAACGACAGTCACGACGATAGAAATGTAACGCTATTCCCCATGTCTAAGTATAATCAATAAAAAAATATATTTATTCTCATTTTGAACGTAATCGGTTAATAGTACTTGAACCTTAAAGTAGCAGAAATAAGACGGAATCTTCTCAAATATTTGAGTACCATTAAGTGCCGTATAAATGCTACAACAGCAGAAAGCACTAGCAATTCCAACTAGTGAGATGACTTTATACTATTGAAGTTAACAAAACGATAGCGCGTTTCAGAGTACAACTAATGCCACCTAGCAGTGGCGCGATGGAACTAATAGCATGTTAAAGTTGTGCTTGTTACAAGTGTAGTTTGATTTCATGCTGAAAGCAAATTTCTTAAATTATGACTACAAATAATACACTAACAAACAAGTCACAAGGAGCTTCCTCTACTAATGTAAACCCCTGAGTAGCACTGCAACTTGGACAGGTGTGTCGCTTCCCACCAGGCACACGACTTTTTTGTCCCATCACTAAGTATTATAAAAAACAAACAAATAAGAAGTACTTTTGACCTGAAATAATAAATAATGAAATAATTTTATTATAATTTATTGCATGGTTATTGTCGGAATTTGAGAAGGCCACTTTGCGCATTATTTTTGTTAGTTATTAACATTGTGAAATTAGGAAACTCCTGTAATGACATTGTTAATATACTTAAATAAATAAACAAATACTAGTATATTCAGCGACTGTAAAGAAAATTCCAAAGATCAACGCACATTTGTTAAATGAGACCCCATCTTTTTGGTAAAACCCTGCCTGTGTTTAGTGTGCATAAAAAAAGTTCAGGTGACTTACAACAAGGCTAATTTTAAAGATAACTCGTAAAAAGTAAATCGTGAGCTCACGATTATGAGCTCATGAGTACAAAAGTTGAAAAAACGATTATGAGTACAAAAGTTGTCAACTATATTTTTTATTTTAATGTTGATATAGTACGCTAAACACATGGGACTTGTGAACTTGTGCCTCAGAGTGACGGGCGCAATTGCAGTAGTGCTCAGATCTTTGTGATTTAAAGCTCTTAGTGGCCCTGCAACTGGTATGGACAGGCGTTTCGTTTACCACCAGGTGCACAACTTGATCGTCTCGTGACTCTGTATCATTAAAAAATTATAAATAATGCGTAATACTACTGAGTTGCCATGCTAATGATTTCGCCGGGGATATTTTTGGTGGTTATCAGGTGACGGGAAGAATAAGTCGGATGCCTGGGGGCCTACCACAATCTCTTAAAACAATATTACTTTAACCTTACATTGACTTTTCGTACCATAACTTATTATAATTTAATACTTTAGCTTATTATAATGTTACAACTATGATGTTTTATTGGTAGCTTTGTGACTATTCACTCAGTTCGTACTATGTCGTTACTTTAACATTAAAGTAATATTGTTCTTATGTCAAATTTAGCAATCTTAAAATAGTTACTCGGACGCAGTGGAAAATATTCTATTAGAATTTGTTGTCTAAATATTGATTTGTAATGATTAAAAGTTAAGTTGATCTTATTTATTTACATAAATCTCTTCAATATTTGGTTTATTATTTTATTTAATAGTACATAGAAAATCATTTCCCGTTAAATAAAAATACGCGATGTTTATTTCGTAAAATTACAACAGCGACATCTATATGCTCCTTGGCGACACTAACAGTTGACACTAGAATAAAATTCCGAATTCACAACGTGACTATCAAGACTCAGCTTGTTTTATTTATTTTTCTTCATGCAAATGCGGAAAAATAATTGAAAACAACGTAATTTAATTGATTTTATTATTACATACTTTTCTTTTTTTAACAGTTAAAATTCTTTGATTCGATTCAAAACGTCAAAAAAGAAAGAGATGACATTATATAGTTCATATAGCGTTATTTCTTTCCTATTTTTAATAAGCAATAGAGAAATAGAAATCAT